TGATTGTGTTTCACCTCAGATAGTATCCTTCATATACTAACGTATAGAATTTTAGGTCAGACTTAAAGTATCCGATGCAATTTCAGGGTGGCAAAGCAAAAAATGTTCTGGAGGAAAAAATGTCCTGGAGGAAGAAATCTCTGATACGTACATTTACTGCCATTTCTGAGCAGTTACAATATTGTTTGATTGTCAAATGTTATTTATTAAGAGCTGTGGTGCCAGGTTCTGAATCAGATGTCATGCTCATTGTGACATCATTGCCAGAATATATCAATTGGATTAAGAAATCAAGAACTGGAAGAATGATTTGCAATATTTGATGTTCCCTAACACCAGAATAGTGTAATTTTGATGAAAACATCTTTGTTCATTAAATAATATTTATCACGATTGACTACTTTCGGGAACTAGTATTTTTAATTAGTTTTATTGGTGTCATATAGACTTTAAAGCAGCATTCCAGGCCAGAAGCAGATCATTGTGATTCCTCAAAGAAAAAGATTGTATGCTTAAATCCAGTTTCTTTTTGTCTAGTTTATCATATTAAAGGTTAAGCCTGAACAAAGTCCAAACACAAGCAATTGAGATCTTGAAACCTCCGACTTAAAAAAGGGTGAATCATAGTAAATAGCTTGACATACAGTTTTGTCTGTCATTATTTCATCTCTGCAACTTACGTTCTGCATTATGATGATTATAGTAATTTTGTTGTTTCATGTACTATTAATTAGAGTTGAAAAATCTTAAGGCATGTTATTGTTCTGGTACCAAAAAGTGCCAAATCTTGACCATACTATGCATGCATCTGTCCATTACTAAAATTTATGATGATCATCATGAAAATATCATCTCATTTTTCATCCCTAAACATTTTGTTGCTTTATTGATAATCTTTCACCATGTTGTACATTTTACAAATTCAAGGGACAATTTTCGTTTTCAGATTTTGTTTTGCGAATGTGGATCATGATGAAGAGCATATCAGGGAAAACAGTTTGATCACAAAATAAATGCTTTTGAAAATACATCCCATTGCTATACAGAATGATCCAACAGGCAACATTACAAGTGCTCTCTTCAATAGGAAAATGTACTAAAATATTAGTCACAACCTTACACTAGATGTTAGTAAAGGAATGTGAACTCTTTCAGAAATGACAATAAATCGCAGGGAGGGCCAGTTTCAACAATTACAACTGGAACTTCAAATTCAGAGGATCGTAAACATGCCCTTTCCCAACATCTTTCATTGTCATTTCTAAGGGTCTGCATATAGAAAGTCCCGATCACGCTTAGTGCTAAATTCCAGAAGGCAGCAGCCACGATTTACTCTTCATTCATGCTGGCAGATTGTATTTGAGGTAAATCAGAGTTGTTCGACTTCGAATTATGCAAACGTCAAATCACAAGGTGCAATATAGAAAAACTGCAAAGAAACGAGCCCGTATTACGTATATGCTTCTCTTGTAGTTTTACACCTAACTACGTTTGATGGTATTCAAAACGACCTGGCTTCGCATTATGCAAAACTAAAACGAGCGATTACGGATTGCGGCATGCAGACCCCATTTTTGAAAGAGTTCTATAAGTAAAAGGAAACTCACGGTCAAGTCCGATGTTCTCTTGTCTCGTAGTTGGTGACAGGTCCCCAGAAACACAGGTACATCCTCCTGGAATAGACAGGAACACAGGTCCTCCTGGAATGTGATCCGGTGCACAGGTCCAACAGGAACACAGACAGGTCCTCCAGGACAGGTACACAGGATAGCTGACAGGTCCCACAGCACACACAGGAGCATGGACAGGTACCACATGGTCAGGTATACAGTATCAGCCTCGATTCCAAACCTAGGGTGTAAAAGAAATACACATTCAGAAAAATCACAGGCCAAATTTACATGCATCAACAATATTCATAGAGCACTTCCAGAATATAGGATCTCCAGGAATGTGGACAGGTACACAGGATAGCTGACAGGTCCCACAGCACACACAGGAGCATGGTCCCATATGGTCAGGTATACAGCATCAGCTTCCCACACCTAGGGTATAAAAGAAATACACATTCAGAAAAATCACAGGCCAAATTTACATACACCAACAATATTTACAGATCATGCATGTCATAAAACATAATACATTGTCAATCAATCAATCAAGCCGCAAGCATCACAGTAGATGCATGGCGGCTGTAGCCATGTCCCTCCAGGATTGTCACATTCAGAATATTTGCTACACTTCTAAAACCTGACTTGAGTTGGGGGCAAGAGCATAATATGCTAAATAAAAGTTTATAGTGAGGTGAAAGAAGAGGAAAAAATTGGTCATTCAGTCAAAATTAATCAGAATAGTTGACCAAACAACACTCACATGAAATATCACATCAAAATACATCATTTGACAAGTTAACACACATGTTGAGAGATTATTGCAATGTTAACAGAGCATCTAACTACTAGTAAAGCAGGCATGAAATACCTCAGTTCAAACCAGTCACCAACAACACATGAAAGGCAATTTTAACATCAGTTCAACACAATTTAAGCTCACTCATATTGACATCATCATACATGGGAAAAGGCACAATATTAATATGACCTAATCTGAAATGAAACTTTTACATTAAAAGTGTTAAAACAGCATCTTCATGGTATAAGTGTTAACGTTAACTGTCAAAGGCAAAGTTAAACTATCATGATAACAAAAACATTCACAAATAAACAGCATTTCATACTGGCAGATACACGTTATTCATGTAACATTATGCCTCTAAATGCAATATTATTATCATTTGCCAGCAACACTTCATCTCACATTTCTCTTACAGTAACGTTAGAGTAGATCTGGAATTTTGTGATTCTGGAAGAGGTGATATGGATTACATGTACTGAAAGATCATTGATAGTATCTAGAATAAAGTCAACTTAGTTGGCACACCAGTTGATGAATGTTGTCCTTACCTGACTTGGAATGATATTGCAGTGGTTTATGTCTTAGATTTAGGCTAGTTTTCCCCTCAGTTTTTCCAATTCTTCACCTCACCTTCACCTCATCAACTGAAGAATACAATGCAACAATAAAATTGAGTAAGTTTCCATGCATTGCAACTTGTCATGCTGTTTCATTATTGAATCAAGAGCAATTTCCTTGCGCAATGTTAGAACTTCATTTAGAGAAATCTAATTCTTGGCCTCCTTGGTAAAACAAAGGAGGTTCAGTTTTAAAAGCTTCTCGATTTTACACTGTAACGTTACATGTAACGTTGATTTGTATCTAAGAAAATACAACAATGCCCCCCTCCCATCCGCAACGTTTAACAAACCGTTGAATCGGATGGATTTTGATTCTTCCGATCCTGTCACCTCGTCCATTTTACCTACATCAAGTCCGTCGCACTTTTCCTTGTAGCCAGTTGCTGCTGTATTTCTTTTTACACCAAAACAGCAAGAATTTCACCGAAGAATCAGGAACCGTGATCGATGTTGAAGTCAACACATTGCAGTTGAGTGGGCGAGCACGGTCTAAAAGCGCCGACTAGTGATTGGTTTAAAAAATGCAACCCTCATAACGCATGTAAGAAATCAAACCCAACATTTACTATATTAAAAGTAGCATTAGTAGTATCATTAACGGTCATTTTTACAGTTTTCTATTATTTCATCATGCCATATGTCCTTACAATTAGCCCTCGAGCATGAATTTGCAATAAACGTTCTAATATAACATATGTGTTCGTGTGAAATCTAGAGACACGCATATTGGTGCAGGTTTAGATCCAGATAACCGTCGCCTCAAATATCCACAAAATTTTGTGTTTCTGCTTCATTTCATCGCGATTAATTCGGCCCAAATAGTAACGAAAACATAAAGGACTATGTTAACTACGACTCACCACCGAAAACGGACGTAGCGCGTCCTCCTGGGCAAATTTTTACCGCCGAGTTCTCCCCGTCCTAGCACACGTCCCGCCACCTTGCCGCAGCGTGGTCTTGACACCTGTTAGCAGTGAATCGCCGTAATTTGCATTTTTCTTAATTAAGTAAAATTAGATTAAACACCGGCGGCGTGATGTTACCATGTTAATCAATCATCATAATTCTAATGTAATATCATAGTCCTAACGCAATAAGCCAACACCATTATCATTTATTGATCATAATTTGCGTCACAGTTATTGTTTTTCAACTAATCATACAACCGGAAAAAGATACCCCTCGTTGATTTCAGGCGTTTTGAGGAAGAAACGACACGTTCAAAGAAATGAATCTAAGAGCTTCGTCGGTTTCTTAAAGATTTCTAATAGCATTTTCTTGCATGAGCTTACTATAAGAACTTAGTATGTCAAACGGCAGATCTAGACGGAATTTAGTAGTCAAGTGTGCAAACACTCGTCGCTTTGCCTTTGATAGCATGTGTACTTTTGGACCGTATTAAATAAATATAGATTTTTTTCATCGACTTTTGGTCACCGAAATAGAAAAACAACTGTTACAAATTAAACCCAGTTCAAAGTTAGAAGTTATTCACCAAAGATCTCCCTTTGTGTAGCTCCTCAAATTCAATTCACTGCTATATAAACTGATGGGAAAATGAACACTTTTCTTTCTTTCAATGATTGCAATGGACATATCACAATTCCAATGGACAATTTAGTCCCAGATTGCCTTTTTGATGGAATCACACATGGGTTATGGCTGGTGCGGCTTGTGAAGTATTGAAACGTGGTCAAGAACAAACTTCCCTGTAACTTTGACCAGGATATCAGACCACTTCCCCACGGTAAATTTTCAGACGCAACAACTTGTAACAACGCGAAACATTGGTAAAGACCGAGGAAACCTACATGTATTCTCACTCTAGGACAAACTTCCAACCCAGGACTTCATTTGAAATTTTTGGAGAGAGTAACTCTTGAGCAAAGCCGTACCAAGGAACTACATCAAGATACAGAACTGCAACGATTTTACTGTCGGAATATCAGGTGGTTTGGAGCAGACATGGATTTCAGGCTGGTGTCAGTGCTCTTGGCTATAATGGTCATCTCACATGCACAAGGTTATGATGCCTTTTACATGATTGTGCACTTTCTGTACTGTTACATGTATGTGTTACTCTGTGTATAGTCTTTAGTTATACTAACATATGATTGTTACATGCATACGATGTTCTCAGTGAGAACTATTATAGCAATGTTTATCATTTGTCCTATCAATTATACATTAATTTTGGCTTTCATTACACTGTCATGGCAAGCTGTCATTTTATGTAGAAATCTTTCAAAAGTGACTGAAGACAAGTAACCTGCACATAAAAATGAATATATTTAGTAAATATAAATCTGTTACTGGTCATTTAGTTCCTTCATTTTGCTCTATGGTTGAGGAGTAGCTGCTTGCTGACCATGCAGTGTTGTTGTTTCAGTAATGTTATATCTTCTTTTTTTTTACAGCCACAACCACCACCACTACTGCACCTGCAACCACCAACACCACCGACATCAATACTGCACCTGATGTCTCCTCCACCACCACTACTGCACCTGTAACCACCGACGCCACTACTGCACCTGTAACCACCGACGCCACTACTGCACCTGTAACCACCGACGCCACTACTGTACCTGTAACCACCGACAACACTACTGCACCTGTAACCACCGACAACACTACAGTAACTGCACTTGTAACCACCACCGACGCCACTACTGCACCTGATATCTCCACCACCCACATCACTACTACACCTGAAACCACCACCACCAACATCACTACTGCACCTGAAACCACCACTGACATCACTATAACTACACCTGATATCTCCATTGACATCACTACTACACCTGATATCTCCACTGACATCACTACTACACCTGAGGCTGAAACCACCGACACCATTTCTCCAGTCACTTTCAATACCACAGTTAAGCCTAGCAGCACCACACCTACACCAGTCACCAGTACCGCTGCCTCTGTGTCCACCATTGTCCCTGTCACGCCAACTGAGGGAAAGCCAGTAGTACCAGCTAAGCCTATACCTACAGAAAAACCTGGTAAGTTTTCTATTAATTTGTAGCATGTGCATGCACAATGATAATCCAACTGCCCTCGCTATTCATATTCGCTCATTATTGTGAGAATTAAGTCATCTTTCAACATATAACAATTTGTGAAATGTGATAGATTAATATGATAAATGGATTGCAAGAAAAGTGGTGTAAGAGTAAGAAACCTTGTACAGCTGCCCTCTCTATATTGAATTAAATGTTTCTCTAGTTTTCTGTGAATTTCAGTCTGAGGCGAGATGTGTTTATTTACAATTAAAGTAATCCAGGTTTCAGTTCCGCACAGCCCTTAACAATGCATCAGATGAATGTATTTCTGGATTAGTATATCTGGTAATGTTTTGAGATAATTGTTTTATATTTTTTCTTGTTTTACTAGATATCATAGCTGTGGACCCAGTGGTGCCAGTTACAATTAGTGAGTAGAAAAGTACAGACTTCTGATTATTGGAATAACTTCAATATCTAACCATGGAATTTGTACCTTTGGTCAATGACTGATTAGTACAGTTCCAATTGCATTACAACTGTAATTACAGTACTCCACAATACGTACCTTAGACCACAATTATTATATTGAATTAAATGAAGAATGAGCCTTGCCTTGTTCAGGTCAAACCCAGTAAAACTAGTACCATGTATGTTATAGAATATAGTATAATGCTAGACGTAGATATAGTCTCACAGGCCACTGTATTCTCTTTCTTATGTTGTTTGTAACTGCAATTAGCCCTCGGGCAAGTATTTGCAATTAACTTTCTTATTATAGTACGAGTACCAGGTGTTGCTGGTGTTATATTACAATGTACTCAATATCTGTATTATGTGTGTATGTTACTTACTATTATACATGTATATAATGTCTTCCCCGCCACATGACCAAACAACTTTTTTTCAACAGATGTGGCTGAGATCTCATCAGAAGTCATTATCATCGTTGCTGTTGGTTCTTCTATCCAGTTTGATGAGCCATTCGATGAGGATCTCAAGGATTCAACATCACAGGCATACAAAAAGTTTGATCAGGATTTTAAATTGGCGGTAAGGAATGGAATTCTGCATTGTATACTAGTCAATTTTGCGGCGGTTTGAATGATTTTTAATTTGTACTTTTTGCTGTTTTCAACTAACTTGAAGGTAACACGAGTATGATCTCACCAATCAACAGGTTGAGCCACTCTACAATAAGACAGAATCTGGCTACCAGGGCATTAGCGTAACCGGTTTTCAGTGAGTCTATTTTTCTTTCAATCATTGAATCATCTTATTTGTTTCTTATCTGTTATATATGCCATACATTTAACCCATTCCTTCGAAACATTAGCTTAAAACCTTCAAACATTGCATGGTGAACCATGACAAAAAAGCACATTACTCAAAACTGAATCCGAAATGGTCTCTCCATACATGTACATTAGTACATACAAAAGATATGTCTAAAAATGCAAATTCAAGTGTTCGCATAATTTTATTAACCATTCCAGTCAACAACAGACTTTGAAACTCTGTATTTCAGGCCCAATATTAAACCAGGCGCGAAACGCCAAGTCGTGGCCGATGTCACAGTGGTCAACTATGAGGTAGACTACAACTACACAGAGCTGCAGAAAGCTGGCGGAATCGACAATGTCACCCGTGAAACTGGAATCCTTCAGGCTGTTGAGAATGGGGCATTGACGGTTGGCAACAAAAGTGCACTTGTGGGATCTTCTGTACAGTACACCAGTCAAGCAGGTATGTAGGCAAAGAAAGGCTGGGACTCATAAGGAGACAACATTCGTTTGGAGAGAACACTCATTTTAGGCCACAGCAAGTAAATTTTATGGATGACATCCCCCGCAGACTCCAAATCTAATGCGAGTGGGCAAAAAAAAGGCGAGCCGAAAAAAAAGGTTCCTACATTTTGAAATTTTGACTGTAGGAACACTACATAATTATACACAGCCAACACCACATAACTGATCCAGTAGTAGAGTTTGAATTTTCTTACGAGTATCGTTTACCTGGATGTCTAACCTTCATCAACGTATTAAGCATTTTATTCTTTTCAGATCTTGACCAAGTAGCCGTCGAGAAGGTGTTGGAACAAATAAATAAAGTCCCAGGAGGACTCTGTTCAGTAGTTAAATGTGAAGTTGGCTACAACAAAAACTGCAGCAACTCCCTCGACCCTACGTGTGTTTCAAGATGCGAGTACGACAAAAACTTCTGCAAGAACCATGGGCAGTGTGTTCACACCTCTGGACAAGACGTCTTCTGCAAGTGAGTACCTGGTTTTAATAGATCAATCTATTAAGTAACCCGAGTGTCATATTTCATGTCCACAAAGCATTTACTAATTGATTTGTACTTGAAATTTTTGTAAAACCACATTAATGGAATGCTCTACTTAAAAGTAAATATTAAACAATCTGGGCATGAACAACATCACCAAATTAGAGCTTCAGTGTATTCGAATATTCGGGAAAAATGGACTAAAAAAGGAATGAACACTGTCACATAGTGGTTTACCGTAATATTTTTTTGCATTGAGGTATGCCTTCAGTAAGAGGGATCAAAATGTGATGTACATGTACCTGAAATAGAAGATTTCTGAAGTACCTGAAATAGAAGAAGTACCTGAAATCTGGATGTATTAAGTCAGTGTAAAGTTCAGTGTCACATTTCAATCTCTGATCTGAGTGAAATGCAACCTGCGGTATATATACTACCAAGTCGACATAATGTATTCTGTTTGGTAACCATGACATTTTGTCACTGTTAGCTGTGACCATGACCCTACCGGCTTCTACATGGGAGGAAGGTGTGAGTTCTACGCCTCACAGCCATTGGTCATTGGGGTGGGTGCTGGAGTGGGAGGCTTTCTATTCGTCATCATCATCGCTCTGTCCATCTGTCTGTGCTGCAGACGTCAGAAGAAAGGCGGTGATTTCGAAAGGTACGCGGGTACTTATATAGGCGGTAAAGACGTGATACGTAAAATGGTATTATATTAGCTTAAAGATGTCTAGTTCTTTTCATTGTAAAAAAATGATGAAAACAGGTTACTGAGTGTTCAACATGCCAAGTAATGTATATTTTATGATATCTAACTCAGTGCCTATCTACATCCCAAAGTCTGTACTATCGTACAACGTAATATAAGTGTAAGTTATAATAAGTAAAAATTATTTATCATCATATTCTTATGTATCTATATATAGTAAAATGATTCTTAGACTATCATTTTTTTTTCTGTTTAGACAACAGATGTCAGACCATCCCTACTGGACACCTGACGAGAAGTCACCTATGACGAAACAGACAGACGACATTCCTGATGAGATGCCGCTGTACAGGTGAGTAATGTTGTTCATCTGACAAAATATATCAATCTCATGTAATGCCCTATAGAATGGCGACAGAGTGTATTTAAGTTGTTGCTAAGATTCGGTCACCAAATATCACAATATTGGCAGGCTTGTTTGATTTCAATCTATCTAAAAGCCAGTGTCTAAATGCCAGGTACGAACCAGTTGTAAGAACTAGACTAAGTATGATTAATGGGTGTGCAGGTTTAGTTTCACTAGCCTGAAATCCAGCCTTGTTAGGGCCGCTCCGAAAAAGTCGCTCTGAAAAAGCGTACTTGTAGCTAACAAGGCTGGGTTTCAGGCTACAGGTTGACCACAGGATGACAAACATACCTAGCTTGTTATTCTGCTACCCTGCTAATGATTAACTGGCAGGCAAAGTGTGAATGTGAGAGTTAGTCTAAGAGCAGACGTCATGTTTGTTTAGGCTGTACCAAAGGGTTTCGAAAAGGGTACAAAGATGTGAAATTTTGTCACCAGTTTTGTTAGAAATTTAAGCACATAATGGCATGTGACAACCTCTGCATTGTTATACCATTACGTAGGAAAATCAAAGGATGTCTAGAAGATAGAAATTCCTAGAATTATTGTAAAAGCCCATTCTCATCCCATACATGTGTATAATTTAGAGTAATGTAGAACGTACACATAGAGTCGAAATATTTTCTAGCCAGTAGTTCTTTATAACTCTGTCAGATACAGTGTCCGTGGACCATATATATATAGCATTATGTTAGACACATACCAACTAGTAATCTTGTCATTTGTCATACATTGTACCCGTGACAATCGTTGTGCAATAAACTTTGACTTTTACTTTGTAATGGGTAGATTAGCCTTTATATGGAACTATATGAACCAGTTAAAGTTATAAACCAGTTAGTTATGTACCAGTAGATATGTCATGCTTTGTTCCTTGTGCAATTATTGTGCATTGTTGCAATGATTTTTTCCATTCCAGCATGGTGAACAAACGTCAGACGTACTCTGAGGACAGTTCAGGTTCGGAGAAGAACAACCTGACCAGGGCGTCTCGCCTGTCCAATCAGGAACGAGATGGTTACGTCATGCCTGCCCGGGAACAGCCAGCCAATAACAGCCTCGGTTATTACGAACACCTTCAGACCTTCGCCGGTGGCCGAGACAACAGGGCTTTTGATTGGAAGCCAAGTTTGAAGAACATACCAACTAATCAGGTAAAGTCATTCATGGCCAAGAATAATGTATGAAAAACATGTATGAAAAACATATCACCTACTTTCTTCCTTTCTGAGTTCTTTTACACTCCTTCCACCTTTCAGGTTCCTATCTTTTTATACCCTTTTCGTTTTTTTATTCGTTCATCATTTTTCCTAGTCATATATATATCATTTTTACTTTGACCTCAAACCTTCAGTTTCAGCAAGGAGGTTAACATCATTAGCTTCAGTCAATGACTTTAAAACCTAGAAATACAATTTGAATGATTATATGTAGTACAATTTTCTTAATTTTTAAAAAGAATTTTACCCACCGATATCATCTTTTAAGCTTTCTTGCATTGGTATGGAAATCATATGTGGAACTTAAGTGTACACTACCTTACATTTAGGAAGGATTATATAAGAAGAGGTTTTGTATAATTTTGTTCTCATGTTCACATACAGGAGTACAAACTCCCCCGGGCTCGACTCTCTACCAGCACTAACCAGTGGTGAACAACTCACCAGGTCAGTTTGTCTAACCTCTTAACAATTGATTGTCTATAAGTATTTACAGAGAAAACAACTCTATCTTTATTACACTTAATAAGCCTTAATCGTGATAAACAGGAAGACAGTAGTTTGTAAATTGTACACTAAAGCTGCCATTGATGTGCACATAGTAGCTAAAGAGTACTTTAAATGCTTGGACATTCGTGTCACTCAGAATGTTGCACCTTGATAACACAGTAGCTGTTCTCACGGGGATGTTTGCTTGATTGATTTCTAGGACAACATCCCTGACTGATATGAGATGGACCTTTGACCGGCTGCCCCCTGGCGTGCCCTCTACGTACTGCACCATGGCAGTGCTACGATGATGAAATCATGCTTCAAGATACCGATCTTGCAAGTGGTTTACTTTGATGACAAAGTAACTTGACAACAATACTTTATGTTATTATGCTATATTAGAAATTAAGACAAGTTTATCATTGTGTTCCACAAGATTTGTAACTCAATATAACAAGAAAAATCAACAGTAAAGCTATTCCGTTTGGGTAATATTAAGTTTTTTTTGCAAGCCCAGTTATATATATGTGAAATACTAATACTAATATGGTAGTTATTAGGAAAAGTTGCTTACTTTGAGACAAAGAAGATATTGTTATGAAGACAACATTGTTATGTATCATTGCTCATTATTATTTACTGTCGATAATGTTAGTGATATTTTTCATTTGATTTCAAAATGTACTATCATGTTATTTTGAATTATTCTGTTTGCCCTTCTTAGCTTCATTATAAGTAAAATTGCAGCTTTTGAATCAAATGAATGAAAATGTACCTGTAATATCTTGTGAACTTAATTAAGATGGAGACTTTTTTTATAGCAATCATGTGTCTGTTTGCTAGTAAACCAATGATATTAACATTGAAGACTTTGATACACAAAGACTTGCAATATTGGATGCAATGAAGCTTGGCACCGGAAATAATGTACACTGTCAGTAATTTCACCACTATCTAATATTCTATCATTCTCTTATAGATAAAATCACGTTGAAACAGAAACAGTATTATAATGCATTTTGTCTGAGAAAATAAAAAGCCCTAGTGCTTATAGTGACAGCTATGTTTTCTTTTAAATTGACAGTTAACTAACTTGCAAGTCAATCTTGGTACCAGTTTAAACCTTACTCTACAAATTGTGTACTGATACCGTACGAAGGTGATGTAAAAGTAAACTTTCAAACACGTAAGTACAAAACAATAACATAGACCCATACATCATTGTTGATGTGACACGCCCTGTCTGTATGTATACGTGCCAATATGAAGTGTGTTTTGCTAACAGAAAGGTGAGAATATATCCTTGTCATGAAGGAGGTTGTTGAGTCATGGAGTGTTCTTACTTAGGCCACAACAAGTAAATTTTATGGATGACATCCTCCGCAGACCCCAAATCTGATGCGAGCGGGCGGAAAACAAAACAAGGCGGGCTGAAAAAAACAAGGTTCCTACAATTTAAAATTTTGACTCAATCATTGTACAAATGGTTTTTATTCAGTGGGAACATCACATATACACAGCCAGCATCACATATCACTGCATCAAAGTAAGAAACAAAACATTAAATCAGAGCCTTTTCTTGTCTCCTCTCTTCATAGTTATCTGCCATCCACCTTCCGGCATGGCAACAGACATATTTACCATTTTTGGCATGTTGACCACTGTCAGAGGACAACAAAAGTTTTTTTTCCAAAATCAGGCGAAAATTAATGCGCGCGCTGATGTCATCCATAAAAATTACTTGCTGTGGCCTTAGGTCACATACATGTACCACGGCTGCGTTCCTTTGAAGTTGTGTTTCTTTGTCATCTTACTGATAACATACAAGGCCTTCATAAAATGTCTTCCTTAGAAGTTAATTAGAACATTAATTAGAATATAAAGCGATGAATGACTTCATAGGCTATGAATAGGTAAAGGAAACGGACCCTTGAATTTCCTCTACCGTTTTCTTGTGCGTGCTGTCTATTTATCAAACTATTATACCATTGTCACGGTGGTCAAATTTGGAAAAAGGGCGCAGCGCTTTTCAATGCACACAAAACGACTTGTGCATTTGGTCAGCACAACGGAAGTATGTTCTCATGGGCCTTTGGTCAAGCTGGGTGATTATCGCATACTTACACGCGTGAAACCATGGTTGCAAACTTAGCCGATGACGTTGCTTACCCCCTGGACACGGATAAACACTACACAAAACGGGTAAAACAGCCGCCAGTGTAGTCAGAAGCACCATTTCCTGGTGTTATAGGAACTGTGTGTGTGAACTAACAGGACAAGAGAAGAACTTTTTCGTTCTGAACTATTTCGTGAATTTCAACAAAGATTGTTCGTTGGCGAGTTTTGGATTTGAAGTTTTGAGGCCATCATGAATACCTTGGTCGTGTCCCTTCTCCTGCTAGCTGTCGGGACCTTTCACTGTAAGTTTATTCTTTAAGTTTTCTACTTTGCTCTAAGGAATATCTTTCTTTCGTCTGCTTAGTATCTAGACATATGATAGACAAAATGGTTTGAAGTAGACCATAATTTTGGAGTATCATTCCCATGTAAAAAGCTGCTTGACTTCTTCGGTATTTGGTCTGAAGTCATCATCAAGTTGTCAAGTTTGCCATTGTGGAACACAATCCTGGTCAAACGACATGAGAATTACTGTGTGGATTAGGTTAAGAGCCCAACCCACAAAGAAACAAAATTTACGTATAAGCAAAAGAACCTAATTTTTATATAGCTCTGGTTAGTGTACGAAGAATACTAGTGTAAATGTCTTGAATGATTTAAAGATTAATCAGCCTCTTTTCATGTATGGCTGTCGTAAGTATAATTCCGACAACGTAACGATCTCTTAGACAAGGTGTTATCGTTTTTCTTCAATAGACACCAACAAAATTTAGTTTGAACGCAGGATACCTCTTTATAAGGTTGTTAAAATAATCCCTGACTAAGAGATCTACGATCCAATACCTCCATTCTCAGTATGCTTTAGTCACTTTGTAAACAAAGGTGTGTGAACAAGAAAGCTTTGTTTCGTGACTCATTGCAGCGACAGCATCAACTATTCCGATTGGTTCTACCGTCGGTTACACTGCTGGAACGGCTACCACTGTCGCACCGGTACCTACAACGGACGGCAGCACAACTACCACTATCGCAGCTACAACGGCCAACAGCACACATTCAACCATAAGTACAACTGCCAGCACCCCAGCATTAACCACAATTACAACGGCCAGCACCACGCCCTCAACAACAACTACAGCGGCCACCACCACGCCTTTAACAACAACTACAGCACCCACCACCCCACCTTTAACAACTTCAGCGGCTACTACCACGCCTTTAACAACAACCACAGCGGCCACCACCACGCCTTTAACAACAACCACAGCGGCCACCACCACGCCTTCAGCAGCAACTACCACTACGGGTAGCAGCTCTGCTAGCACCGCTTCTACAACCAAAAGTACTCCAGCTACCTCCCCCACTACCACCACGCCTTTAGCAACAACCACAGCGGCCACCACCACGCCTTTAACAACAACTACAGCGGCCACCACCACGCCTTTAACAACAACCACAGCGGTCACCACCACGCCTTTAACAACAACCACAGCGGCCACCACCACGCCTTTAACAACAACCACAGCGGCCACCACCACGCCTTTAACAACAACTACAGCGGCCACCACCACGCCTTTAACAACAACTACAGCGGCCACCACCATGCCTTTAACAACAACTACAACGGCCAGCACCACGCCTTCAGCAGCAACTACCACCACGGGTAGCAGCTCTGCTAGCACCGCTTCTACAACCAAAAGTACTCCAGCTACCTCCCCCACTACGACTGACAGCACCACTAAAACCACATCTACAACCACCAGAACAACTCCAGCGGCTTCTGTCGCCTCCACCAACACACCAACACAAAAACCAACAACCCCAAAGATCACAATTCCTCCAAAGGGTAAGAATTGCCTCATATTTTACCTGATTTTAGCAAAAAGGAATGCAGTTTTGGTCCGCAATTTGGCTTTGATCGTTTTTTCTTTGAGAGTATTTTCAATATGAAGAATATGACCTAATCTCTTTTGGATGAAATCTTTTGTTTTTGTATACGATCTTTTGAACCACTTGAACGTGAATTGAAATTTAAAGCAATGCAATACAATGCCGTTGAAGAATACATGTTTGTTCTAGATCCAGAAAAGCCATCAAAGATCGTGGCTTTTGAGCTGAGCCTTCAAGCTGATTTTGAAGAAACGCTGAACGACAGCGATTCAACCGAGTATCAAGATCTAGAGAGAAACTGTGTGAATGCGGTGAGTTTATACACTGCATTGATACTACACTTCGACGTGTCCACATGTGAGTTGGATATCACGGTTGTACAATGTTACATTTTTTTTCCTTTTTGGACGTCAATCTTGTTTTAGGAGCACATGGTAATATATCTAGCAGCTCATCATCATGATACACAGACTATGCAAGTGTCTCTAATTCATGATGATAGCAATAGTGACAGTACACTTGATAAGGGCAGTATAAAATGTTTGCATCAATAACAGATTGCAATTTTTCTACAGCTGACTACATTGCATGCAGAACAAACAGGATTCCAAGGTGTTCGTATTCTCGGCTTCAGGTACGACATTTCTTTTTCATTTTGACATAAACATCACTCGTTATACAATGCACCCATGTTTACATTAGCACTAGCAGCCTAGATTCCAAATAAACCCTGATAATCAGCAACTTCTATTCATTTGATCATAAAACGGCTGGGTAACACAATTGAGCAAGTAGAAGCTGCATTCCAATGCTCCCAACATACATTTACATAGGACAAGACATGATTACATTTAGTCAAGCAACAAAAGGTGTACAACAGTCAAATAAAACACAGAGAATATACTGCTATCTTACAGATCCGGGAGCATTATCGTGAGCTACATCGTCATCTTCGAGAACTCGAACCTCGAGTCGAACAAGGACATCACGAATGAAGCTGAGGACCTGATTCGAAATGGAAACCTCACCACCATCGGGAACTACACCGTAAATCAAAATTCATTCAGGGAAATAGACCTAAGTGTAAAAGGTATTCACTCTAATTATATTCTAACCTGTATTCTATTTGCTGTACTTTTCTTGTTTACTTCTATTTACATATACCCTATAGAAGTCCAAATGTCTTAACTTTCGGCTTACCATAATACAATTCTACGTTAATTTGACGAAGTCTGGAGTCATAAATGCTATACATCAGTACGTACAAGTATGTTACGCTAACATGTTGCAGTGATGCTCAATAGTAATATGTCTTTTTGTATTTGTTCAACGATTAGTTTAAATACGTACATACGGTGATTTTCCTGAAATCATGATCAGCCTTTCATTCCATTGTGCATAACTCTGTATACATAGTACGTAGTTCTATCTGGAACCTAGCATGTGATACGGAAACGCTACATATGCAAGCAATTATACTTGTGCCACTGTTACACGTACCTATCTATTACTCTCGCCAACTATTTCTCTCTTTTTTTCTAGATATTCTAGAAGTAGTAGGTGAGGACGACCTGTGTCACGGAGGTTGCACAGGAGGTAAATGTAACCTGAGAGATTCCTACGGAGTCCTGTTGACTGAATGTGTGTGTGAGGACGACTACTGCAAAAATGGTGGACAGTGCCATTATGAAGACGGACCTAAATGCAGGTAAAAGAACTATTGTACATTTATGTGTATTGTATTATTCAGCACCAAGGACAGGTGTGTGTGTGTTGTGTGTGGATAGTATTCAGTACCAAGGACAGGTATATGTGTGTAGGGGATAGCATTCAGCACCAAGGACAGGTATATGTGTGTGGGGGATATTATTCAGCACCAAGGACAGGTATATGTGTGCAGGGATAGTATCACCAAGGACAGGTATATGTGTGCAGGGATAGTATTCAGCACCAAGGACAGGTATATGTGTGCAGGGATAGTATTCAGCACCAAGGACAGGTACATGTATGCAGGGATAGTATTCAGCACCAAGGACAGGTAAATGTGTGCAGGGATAGTATTCAGCACCAAGGACAGGTATATGTGTGCAGGGATAGTATTCAGCACCAATGACAAGTATATGTGTGCGGGGATAGTATTCAGCACCAAGGACAGGTATGTGTGTGGGGGGAAAGTATTCAGCACCAAGGACAGGTATGTGTGCGGGGATAGTATTCAGCACCAAGGACAGGTATATGTGTGTGTGGATAGTATTCAGCACCAAGGACAGGTACATGTGTGGGGGGTAGTATACAGCACCAAGGACAGGTATGTGCGAGGGGATAGTATTCAGCACCAAGGACGGTTATGTGTGTGTGGATAGTATTCAGCAACAAGGACAGGTATGTGTGTGGGGATAGTATTCAGCACCAAGGACAGGTATGTATATATGGAGGGGGTAGTATTCAGCACCAAGGACAGGTATGTGTGTGGGGATAGTATTCAGCACCAAGGACAGGTATGTATGTGTGGAGGGGTAGTATTCAGCACTAAGGACAGGTATATGTGTGCGGGGATAGTATTCAGCACCAAGGACGGGTATGTGTGTGTGTGTGTGGATAGTATTCAGCACCAAGGACAGATATGTGTGTGTGTGTGTGTGTGTGTGTGTGTGTGTGAATGGAATGTGTGTATGTATGTGTTCGTGTGTGGTGTATCTGGTAGTCAATGATCATCGACGCTTAGAATCCATTATGAGGTACATAAAAACGGTCATGGTTTTGTTTCATTCAGTTGCGACCATGACCCTGACGGCTTCTATATGGGAGAAAGATGTGATTTCTACGCCTCACAGCCATTGGTTATTGGGGTGGGGGCCGGAGTGGGCGGCTTTCTACTACTCATCATCATCATACTATCCACCTGTCTGTGCTGCTGTCGACGTCAGAAGGAAGAACTGGATTTTGAGAGGCGAGTAAACAAAATGTCAATGTCAATTCCAATATAACAGTAGAAGTGACAATTATGAGGCGGAGTTAAGATGCTACATAGTCTTTCGTAAGTAAAGAAAACTGAGTATAGTACGCTTTTTTATGTTCTAGATCGCCCAGGAGTGTTGCCCTCTTTAATGTCAATATTCTTAACATGCTACGCTTTCTTAATTGTTATCAACGTTCTAAAACAGGCTACATTAATTTGTTAATTGTTATTAACGTTCTAAAACATGTTACTTTAACTTCCTCAGAACTCTGCCAGACAAAGCTCACTGGACGCTCTATGACACTATGGCAGTGACGAATCAGACCGAGAACACCCCAGACGTGATGCCGTTGAACAAGTGGGTCAATGTTGTCTTCCTCGGATCTAGTTATCTATCTATAGTATCTAGTTATACGTCAACAGCTTTGATCTACGAATACATGTACGTTATTTGTACTATACTCTTACTAGTAACATACACACAGATAGATTTAACGATATGTGTCTGTACAGTTGTTGTATCCAACGTTAACAAGATCTTTGTTGTTTACATATAGTTACGTATATTACGTATAGTGCAATCTAACATAAATGTATGATACATTCGTTACATTTTGTATCACTACCCCAAGGCCAGGCTAGAGTGCGTTTTTGCAAGATTAGCATTATGATGAAACGTGGATCAGATCTGACAAAGGCACAGAAATAGAAACAGACAATTCCTGAATTCGTGGTTTGAATCTAACTTTTCCACATTTCAGTGTGACGAATAAAAGGCACGTCTCGTCTGACGGCAGTTCCGGTCCTGATACGAACAACAGCCTGCCCAGAACGTCTCGTCTGTCCAATCAGGACCGAGATGGTGTCAAATATCAGGTGTCAAGTTACGCCACGCCCACCTGGGAGCGTCCAAGGGCAACCAATCAGAGCTTTCTTCACGGAAACACCTGAGCTGTTTTGTTTTTTAAAATGTTACATGCTGGCATTAAGATTGAATAGCAAAGTTCTTTATTCACAGCCACTTGTTTAACAAGAGACAACGTTTCCATGACCATCTGTCATCTTCATCAGGGCATCATCACTAGGACAGTTAATTGATGAAAGTCATTGAAACGTCAGTTTTTGTTAAAAAAAAATAGCATTGAACAACGAACTTTGCTATTCGACTTCAATCGCTCACCAACCTGACCATTTACGTATATTCAGAATACCATGTTACACTGATTGCTTGTCTGATGGCTGTGTCGTTATGATAGAAATATTGCGTTCTAGTTTGAAATTAGATGATGCCAGTAGTATTCTTGAAATATATGTAATGATAGAATAGATTCTAGAGGTTGATGTTTTATAAAGATGAGAGTATGTTAATGTCGTTCCATCATCTTAGCAGTAGCTTTGAACTTATTTCTTACTATAAGATCATTGGTGATAATAATATGTCAAAACTATCTTGTACATAGTAAATTTTGCATTAAAAAATGCCATACGAAGTATGAAGGCAAATAAGGGTAAAGACTGCCGCCATTTTGTGTTCTGACCAGGTCACCTGCCACAGCAGCGCGAGGGTTGCCGGGAAACTACGGAAGTCAATTGATGTTTGTTTTCGTTATTTACTGATAACGTCGTGTAGGTCTTTATGGGACGTACATTCCGATCTATTTGTTTGAAAGGCTCTAAAGGTGAAGGAGTTTCCTAAGTCTTTTGTTGTAAGGGTATTTTAGGAATGAACTGCAGTAGGTTATATAAAGTAGAATGGATTTATTCCGCAAGCTAACCGACATCTTGAATACCGCAGTCGTCCCTCAGTAAGACATTTAGAGCTGCATAGTTCCCGTTTAGAACTTTTAGCTAGCCTGAAGTGGAGTAAGTAAGTTTGAAAAAAGTAAGAAACATGTTTTGGTTTGCTTTGGATTTAAATCTCCATTAGTGAAACAGCATTGTGTGAAAAAAAAGAAGAATAAAGAAGTCTTTGAAGTGGATTCCTCCTTCCTGACGAGAGCTAAATGTTTGAATAAACTTCCTTTGTTGTGGTTGTCAATTTGAAGATAAATAACAGAATGTTGACCTGGCATATTTGCATGCGCCGTGTCTTGTGTGGATATGTCACCATGGACCTTTTGCTCAATTCAAACCAGTAGTGTACTCTGTTGCCAAGTGTTTATCAGACAGAGGTTAGGTGATATGTACTAACTAAACCCTGCTGGTGTGGAGTATTTGTCTGGCCCACTTTAGACAGGATAATTGTCTTGGGCACAACAATAGCCCAAGAAGAATTTTTAAAACTAATGTTATGAACAGTTTTTCTTGTTTGAGTTCTTTATATATATATGGGGTGTACGTTCGTTGTCTTTAACTGTTATGATCAAGCATTTGACATCTGTATCTGTATAGCCGGTATAACCGCCCTTCTGCGTAACACACCAGCTTCTGTATCTATCTGTATAGCAGGTATAACCGCACTTCAGTGTAACACACCAGCTTCTGTATCTATCTGTATAGCCGGACGGGTATAACCGCCCTTTGGCGTAACACCCCAGCTTCTGTATCTATCTTTATGTCCTACCTGGGCCGCGATTACGTTCGATACGGGTGTTCCGGCCCGTGTGATAACTAGCGGTACGGCCCGGGAGTTCTTAACGCGTACGGCCCGGGCCTTCCAAATGCTCCATAGAACGATTAGATCGCGTTTCGCCCTAAGCGCTTGCACCGCTTTCGAAAATTCGAACACAAAATTCGGACGTTGGAATTGATGTTGTTGCATTGTTTAGGTTTAGGGACACCAAAGTTTCGCTAATTTCGCATTGAAAGGTGTGTTTTCTTGGGTGGGTATGACATAAATAAAATACAACACGGTGTATTCCGCATCACCCTCGGTCCCAGCCCTCCCGCGGGTTGGATCTCCCTCCGGCCTGCGGCCGTCGGGCGATCCGACCCGCGGTCGGGCTGGTACCTCGGGCGATACGGAATACACCGTGTTGTATTCTATATGTATTGCCGGTAAAACCGCCCTTCGGCATAACACACCAGCTTTTGTATCTGTATAGACGGTATAACGACCCTTCGGTGTAACACACCAGCTTCTGTATCTGTATAGCCGGTATAACCGCCCTTCGGCGTAACACACCAGCTTCTGTATCTGTATAGCCGGTAAAACCGCCCTTCGGCGTAACACACCAGCTTCTGTATCTGTATAGCCGGTAAAACCGCCCTTCGGCGTAACACACCAGCTTCTGTATCTGTATAGCCGGTATAACCGCCCTTCGGCGTAACACACCAGCTTCTGTATCTGTATCTGTATAGGCGGTAAAACCGCCCTTCGGCGTAACACACAGCTTCTGTATCTCCATGATAAACAATCTACATCTAACCTCAATACGCAGCAGTTCACTTAAAACGTTTTTACAGAGGAAAGATACGTGCAAACTTATATAAATATTTTCGACTAACTTTGCACGACATTATAACAAACTGTAATCCCAATCACGTGAAACTAGCACGAACTATACTCAGGCTGACACTTGTTTTCCCACTAAGGTATGTGAACCTTGACTTCTCAGAGCAAAGGTGCCGAACAGATCAAACCGTTTAAGGTATGTATAAGTGACAGGTTGATTAACAATGGTAATAAAGTGCTTTGTTGTTGACTTGGTGAAAGTGAAAATAAAACGCCAGGTATATAATTATATTATCTGAGTTGCTACGAAACAACCGTATGAGATAGCAGGTATCTTTTTTCTTACCCAAACCTAAAATCACTAAAAAGTATGACTTCCCCGTTTCCATTGTACTACAGTATATAGCATAGGTGAACGCTACAGTGAGTGTACACAAGTGAATCTTGTGTATCCATGTAACACAAAAGGCTGCATATACAGGATAAGTTTGGGAATGCCTGTTAATTTTGCATTGCGACTTATTTATGTAGTTGAGAGTTCGGTCCCGCTACAAATACTGGGCTAGGTACATACTTCTGTTCAACGGCAAACAAGCATGTGATTGCTCTAGAATTGATTTATCGATCTCACAACAGGTAATGTGTATTAGAAACACTTCAATTACAGTCATTACTTTATAAGCTCAACGTGCCTGTTTTGAAAACCCTGCCATAGAATGGCTAAATGGTGCCATGAAAAGCCTGATGCGACGTAGAGTAGTGCTTTATGGTTGGAGGCTATGCCACAGCACTTCAAAATTGGGATGTCTTATATTATGCTTGTGCTTGGTACACGTATAGTGCGACTGCTGTGGGCAGTGTTTTGTCTAACGAAGAATTTGTTAGGATTTTTCACTGAGAGTTATGTCTTTTACGTGATTACGAATTGAACAAGAGCTAATATAAAAATACAGTCAAATCAATAAAGACTTTGATTTTTTGACCAAATAGTGGTCGCTAGACTTTGGCAGTTATATTGGAATCCCGTCACATGGACTGTCGACTTGACTTAAAAGACTTAACAAACGTACTGCAAACTTCAATTCGCTGTGAAAAGATACCAACAGAATGACATGGTTACAGCACGTAATGGCAAAGGCCCACCCCGGTTTTTTTACAGCCGTTTCCTTGTGTGAGGTCATTGTTTGTCCATGATTAATTAATCAACAGTCGCCAAGTTTGCCGGATTAATGCCACCGCACCTTAATAGTAACGCACCTTAGTGGTACAAACAGTTCTGTGTGCTCTATGTACTCACCTACTTACCTGTGCAAATATGACATCATCAGGTGACTTGCATCGTCTCATAACTCTATCACCAAGAAATATACGTTTTTAATAAAGAACATTCCAAACATCTGGTGACATTATTTATGATTTTAGTACCTTACCTAATCGCTCGAAATTGAACTTTTACATCTGGACGTTTATTTAGTAAATCGATGACGTGGTAACTTTAGCCCAGGTAGGGCGGTTAACTTTACACCTGGGCGGACCCGCGAGAGCAAACATCATTTGTCGCCAGGACCAGTACCGGACGCACCCTGGGAATTTGAGCAGGAAATGGGCAGGAGTGTGGTCACACCTTTCTCGAGTCAGCATACAAGTCTCCGTATGTTCGTGACTGTTTGGAGTACCTAAAGTGAAGTGTGCTTCGTTGAAAAGGGACTTACTTACTAAAAGAGACGAAAAGACAAAGATCTGGAACAGAAGAAGGAGTGTCTGACGCGACCATGGGGGCGAAGTTCCTAGTCTGTTTGGTTCTAACTGTGATCCTGACTTGCTGTAAGTTTCATTTTCTTTTGCGTGCGTGTAAAACTTGCTGTTAGCATGAATGCCAAATATGGTCTTTCTTCTTAATACACGTATCAAGTTTCATGTAAGCCAAATATGTAGTGTTTAATGGACGTTTTTGTGCACATATTTTCGAAAAGCACTGTTGGAAAATCCCCTTCTAGATCTATATTGGCATGAACAAATTCTTTCACTTTCAAATTAACCGGACATGTCAAAATGTTATCACTTTTTGATGGAAGGAGGGTAAGAGAAATGATCTCGTTTCCTTTCTGATGTATTTCGGCATATCTTAGTTTTCATGGTGTTAGTTGCATATGGAATGGTAAAGCATGGCGGTGATTTACAGGACTGGGTTCAGCTTAGACTTTGCTCCGGACCAAGCACAACAACATGTTTGTCCTTAAAATGTCCAACTAGGTTGAACTGGGTAAATAAATAAATGAAAAATAATCAAGTGAACATACGAAGTGCAGGTCTAAGTACTTCTAGTTCGGAAAGAAAATACAGAATATAATACTTATCCCCCATGCCCATTTTTCTGAATTCATTAAATCTCATGGTATAGAACATGACTTATGATATCCAAAAGAAGGGAACAAATTAATGGTAGAGAACATTACTCCAAAAGAATGGAGCAAACTAATTTTAACGTTAGATGTAGATAAAAGGTAGTGATCAAAGTGTATTCAGCCCTTAGATTACATACTGGTGTACTTTTGCTCTACCTAGGTACAGCAGCAGTCAACGCCCAAACCAGCACACCTTTCACCAGTAAGTACAACGATATTTATACATCACTACACCATTATCCTACAGAACCTAGATAGTCTAGTGCTACGTTTCGAGTATGTATAAGAATGTGTCCCAATATAGGAGTGTAATAACACAATAATAACAATTTCCTGTCAGAGGTTCGATAAAAATTAGTTTTCCCTAGCTCCAGGCTGCATCTCTATTTTTTAATGTTACCACCCGTACTCTTTTCTTACATCTTGCCTAGCCAATGAATCATATTCTTTATAGTTAGACTTTTGAACGCATTAGTCTACCGAATGAACAACACAATTGATTTGTGAGAAAAATTGAGAAATCCTGCTCAATTTTGAACAAGTGTAAACAAAGTGGTTTTGGTTATCACGGGCATGTTGGTACTGTTTATCAAATGAATCAATATAGAGCAAGGATTTCACATGTTTAAAAAACCCATCATACATCTGTTATAGATGATGATTAAATAAAACGTTAAGGTAAACTTTATTTCAATGTATGTAAATTGTCGTCCAAGCTAGTAACAACAGCAAAAGGTAACATTTATGCCTCACTACTGTGGAATGCACAATCGTTCCAAACAAAAAGGGTATCGAGTAAGATTAAGAAGCCAGATTGGTTGTCAACAAGATAAACGTAGATAGAGCTTGGATAACAAAGTGAGTTTTGTTTTAGTGGCTGGGGCAACTATTCCAACTTCAAATAAGACAGCCACCTTACTGAATTGGGCAACTGGGACAAATGACACCCCAACAGCTAAGACGTCTAGCAATTCAACATATGAAAGCATGACTGCAAGTACTACCAACAACGTCATGACTACCGCAAAACCAGCCACTACCAACAACGTCATAACTACAACAAAACCAGCCACTACCGACAACGTTATGGCTACTGCAGAACCAGCCACTACCAACAACGTCATAACTACAACAAAACCAGCCACTAACAACAACGTCATGACTACTGTAGAACCAGCCACTACCGACAACGTCATGACTACTGCAGAACCGGCCACTACCAACAACGTCATGACTACTGCAGAACCAGCCTCTACCAACAACGTCATAAGTACTGCAGAACCAGCCACTACCAACAACGTCATGACTACAGGGGAACCAACAACTACCAACAACGTCATGACTACTGCAGAACCAGCCACTACCGACAACGTCATGACTACAGGGGAACCAGCCACTACCGACAACGTCATGACTACAAGGGAACCAGCCACTACCAACAACGTCATAACTACTCCAGAACCAGCCACTACCGACAACGTCATGACTACTGCAGAACCAGCCACTACCAACAACGTCATGACTACTGCAGAACCGGCCACTACCAACAACGTCATGACTACTGCAGAACCGGCCACTACCAACAACGTCATGACTACTGCAGAACCGGCCACTACCAACAACGTCATGACTACAGGGGAACCAGCCACTACCAACAACGTCATAACTACTGCAGAACCAGCCACTACCGACAACGTCATGACTACTGCAGAACCGGCCACTACCAACAACGTCATGACTACTGCAGAACCAGCCACTACCAACAACGTCATGACTACTGCAGAACCGGCCACTACCAACAACGTCATTACTACTGCAGAACTGGCCACTACCGACAACGTCATGACTACTGCAGAACCAGCCACTACCAAAAACGTCATGACTACCGCAGAACCAGCCACTACCGACAACGTCATAACTACTGCAGAACCGGCCACTACCAACAACGTCATGACTACTGCAGAACCGGCCAATACCAACAACGTCATGACTACCGCAGAACCGGCCACTACCAAAAACGTCATGACTACTGCAGAACCAGCCACTACCAACAACGTCATGACTACTGCAGAACCAGCCACTACCAACAACGTCATTACTACTTCAGAACCGGCCACTACCAACAACGTCATAACTACTGCAGAACCGGCCACTTTAACGGCTGTAGTTACAGGGACACAATTAACAACTGAAGAAATCACAACTACCACAGACATGCCCACAACAAGTGATTTAACAACTGAAGAAATCACAACTACAACAGAACTGACCTCTACAAGTGATTTAACAACTGAAGGAAGCGCAACTGAAGCCACTATGGCTGTTACAAGTGTCACAAGCCCCAATGAGCCTCCAGTTTCAAATCCACCAGGTAAATCATACATTTATTAATGACCAATATAAATAATTATTATGATATACTTGTAAAGGTGTAAAG